CGATTGTTTCCTTTGCCATGCAGAACATTCTAATTTGATGGAGTCTCTCTCACTCATCCATGTGTGCTATCATCGCCTGTGCTTTCGGTGTCACATCCGAGAATTTATTTCCAGCCCAAAATCAGGAAGATTTTTCCTTAAGTCGTCTTCTAGTAGCTTTAATGTTTCAGATCTTACATTGTTTTTAATGCGGTTTTTTTTTNTCAGTTTCCCCCCTGTGATTATGTTGTTAGTTGTGGGCTTTTCATATATGGTCTTTACTGTACTCAGGTAAGTTTCTTCTATACCTATTTTGTTGAGAGGTTTGTTTTTTTTTTTTTAATTGTGAATGGATGTTGAATTTTGTCAAATGCCTTTTGTAACCTATTGAGATGACCATGTGTTTTTTATCTTTCATCATGTAAATGTGATGTTATCACACTGATTGATTTGCTCAAGTTGAACCATCCTTGTAACCCAGAGACAAATTCTAGTTGTTCATGGTGTATGATCCTTTTAATGTGCTGTGAATTCAGATGGCTAGTATTTTATTGAGCACTGTTGCATCTAAGTTTATAAGAAATATTGACCTGTAGTTTATATATTTGTTTTTCTTTTTCCAGTGCTGTCTTTGTTTTGCTTTGATATCAGGGCGATGCTCACTTCATATAGTAATTTTGAAAGTGCTCCATCTGTTTCTATGTATTGGCAGATTTTAGGAGAAATCAGTATTAATTCTTCTTCGAATGTTTGGTAAAATTCACCTGTGAAGCCATCTGGTCCTAGGCTTTTCTTCAAAGAGGAAGGGCGGTCTTGGGTTACTGCTTCAGTCTCCTTATTTGCTGTTGCTCTGTTCAGGTTTTCTAATTCTACTTGATTCAGTCTTTGTGGTTGTATGTGTATAAGAATTTATCTATTTTGTCTAGTTTATCCAGTTTGTTGGAGTATAATTATTCTTGATATTCCCTTATGATTCTATTTGTTTCTGAGACTTCTGTTATAATGTTTTCTCTTTCATCTCTGATTTTATTTATTTGAATCTTCTCTCTTTTTTGTAGTTAGTGAAGCTAAGGATTATCCAATTTCACTTATTTTTTCCCAAAAACTTCTCTTAGTTTCTTAAATTTCTTTCTATTGTTTTTTTTTTTTTTTTTTTTTGGTCTTTTTCCGNCGTACCGGGGACCGGCAACGGGATCACAACCCTCGGTGTTGCGCCCACACCGCGCTCAGCCGGTGAGCGGGAACCGGTCTCCACATGGGATCCGAACCCTCGCGGGAGTGCTGCCGCGCTCCCAAGCGGTGCACTCTCCAGTGCGCCACCAGGCCGGCCCTTAAATTTCTTTAAAAATGCATTTTGAGATGACTCATATATAGAGTGAAATGTAAACAATTTCATCTTCCTACATGTAGATATCTATTTCTCCAAAAACCATTTATTGAGAAGACTATCTTTTACCCATTATACACACACTTGGAACCCTTGTCAAAGATCAGTTGTCCATAAATGTGTGGTATATTTCTGGATTTACTATTCTGTTCCTGTGGTCCATATGTTTGTTTTATGCCAATACCCTAGTTTTTTGGTTACTGTACATTTGTAATATATTTTGCAATCAGGAACTGTGGTGTCTCTGACTTTGTTCTTCTTGTTCAAGATTGGCTTGGCTATTTGGGATCTTTTGTGCTTCCGTGTTAATTTCAGATTTTTTTTTTTTTTTTTTTTTTTTGCATTTCTGTAAAAAATGGCATCGGGATTTTGATAGGCATAGCAATGACTCTGTAGATCACTTTGGGTAGTATGGACATTTTAACAATATTAGTTCTTTCAATCCATGAACATGGGATGACTTCATTTATTTTTGTCTTTTTAAATTTATTTCATCAATGTTTTACAATTTTTAGTGTACATGTCTTTTATCTCCCTGGTTAAGTTTGTTACTAAGTGTTTATTCTTTCTGTTGCTATTGCAAATGTGACTGTTTTCTTAATTTTATTTTTATATATTCATTGTTAGTGGATAAAAGCGCCACTAACTTTTGAATGTTGATTTTGTATCCCACAAATTTACATAATTCATTTCTTAGTTCTAACACGTTTTTCGTTGTTGTTGAGTTTTAAATTATTTTTACATATATGTTCATGTCATCTGCAAACAGAGATCATTTTATTTCTTCCTTTACAATCTGTATGTGTTTCATTTCTTTCTTCTCTTTTTTTTTTTTCTGTGCAATGTTTAATAGAAGTGGACATACTGGGCATCTTGCCTTGTAGGAGATCTATGGGAAAACCTTTCAGTTTCCCCCCTGTGATTATGTTGTTAGTTGTGGGCTTTTCATATATGGTCTTTACTGTGCTCAGGTAAGTTTCTTCTATACCTATTTTGTTGAGAGGTTTGTTTTTTTTTTTTAATTCCTAGTTATCCTTTTGTCATTGATATCTTTCTTAATCTCACTGTGGTCTGTATTATTTTAACATTGAAATTTGTTAAATCTTGCTTTATGACTCAACATATGGTCAGTTTTGTAGAAAAGCCCCAGATACCCTTGAAAATAATTTGCATTCTGTAGATGTTGGGTGCAGAGCTCTACATACTTTAATTAGCTCATGTTTAGTAATCATTTTTTCTTGTATTATCTATTTTTAACTGAGTTTTATCCTTTTTTCTGTTAGTTTCTAAAAGATATTAAAAATCTATATATTGCTTTTTTATTGCTTCTTTTACTTCAGTTAACTTTTGGTTTATGTATTTTGAAGCTACGCTATTAGATGAATGTGTGTTAAACATTTTTACATCTTTTTAGTTGGTTAAAATTTGTTACCATTTTTAAGCATGTATACTATCTGTAGTCATGCTGCTTGCCTTAAAGTCTAATTATCTGATAGAACTCTTTTCTTGTGGTTAGTATTTTTTAAATATATTCATCTATTCTTTTTCAAGTTTTTGTCTCATATTTAATATGTCTTTTGAAGCAGTATATCTTTGGATATTATTTTCCCTAGTCTGACAATCTTTTCTTTTAATTGTAGTTTTTAGTTAGTTTAAATTTTTTAATTTATTTTTTACTGTAACATAGTTGATTGTACATATCTCTGTAGTACAGAGTTGAATATCAATACCTTTGTGCAACATGTGATGTTCAAATCAGGATAGCTAGTGTATTCAGTATTATACAATGTAATCATTTTTTTTTTTTTTTTGGTCTTTTTCCGTGTCCGGCAACGGGATCGCAACCCTCGGTGTTGCCCCCGCACCTCGCTCAGCCAGTGAGCGGGAACCGGTCTGTATGTGGGATCCGAACCCTCCGCGGGAGCACCTCCGCGCTTCCCAAGCGGCGCACTAGCGCAGTGCGCCACCAGGCCGGCCCTCTTTCTATTGTTTTTCAATTTTCTGTTTTATTTATTTCCACTCTAATTTTATCATTTTGCTTCTTCTGCTAACTTTGGCCTTAGGTTGTTTTTTGTTTTGTTTTGTTTTGTTTTCCTTGTTCCTTAAGTTGTAATGTTAAGTTGCTCGTTTGAGATTTTTCTTTTATTTATTTTTTTTTTATTTTAATGTGAATGTTTATCTCTATGAACTCCCCATTTGGTCCTGTTTTTACTGCATTCCATAAGGTTGAGTGTGATGTGTTTTCATTTTTGTTTGACTCAACATATTTTTAAAATTCCCTTTGGATTCTTTTTTGACCCAATAGTTGTTTGAAATGTGTTTTTTGATTTCTACCTATTTGGACGCTTCCCATTTTCTTACCGTTATTGATTTATTGTTTCTTTCCATTGTTGTCAAAAAGGCTTCTTAGAATGATTTAATCTCCTTACTTTAAGCCCTGTTTTGTGACAGAACATGTGATCCCTCCCGGAGAAGATACTCTGTGCTCTTGAGAAGACATTTTGAGAAAACAACTGGTCTTTTCCTCATACCATTTTTGTCACCCAGCCCTTCTGGTCACAGGGTTCATTTTGCATCTAATGTCTCCCCAGCCAGGAGCTAACATTCCTCATGTCCACTAAGCCTGTGACAAGACCATTCCAGAAAAAGCTAAAAGGTCCTGAGAAAGGGTGTCTCAGTCACTTGGTGTGGGAGAGGGAGTTTGGGAACAGAGCAGGGATTTCTATCCCTGACTCAATCGTTTCCTGGTGCTTGAGATAACCACTGAGGCCACATGGGAGCAGCAAAGGACTAGACTAGGGATGGTAGTTGCTGAGGTTATCCTGACCCTTAGGAAGTCCCAAGAGCTACTTCTTGAGTATTTCTAAGGTGTAAAAAAAGGTGGCAAATGTGTTGTGCCCCAATAAATCCTATTCTAGAACATCCATTAATGGTCCCATGTGTCAGTGTCAGCCCCCAGCTTCAAACCATTGCAGAGGCAGGGAAAATAAAAAAAGGTGGCAAATGTGTTGTGCCCCAATAAATCCTATTCTAGAACATTCATTAATGGTCCCATGTGTCAGTGTCAGCCCCCAGCTTCAAACCATTGCAGAGGCAGGGAAAGTAGCAGTGCCTGGAGACCCACCCTAACTGAGAGAGCCAAGAAGGTTGGACAGGGAATGAGGAAATGAGAAATCCCCAGATCTGCCTTAACTCTCTGGGAAGCGGAGTGACGCGACTTTCCCATCCAGCCTGGGACTCTGTCCTCACCCTCACTGGACACAGCACAGAAGGCACGTCTTGGGATTCCTCAGCCAAGAACCACTGAGACTCCCAAATGAGAAGGGTAGGGACATCCAAGGCTATCCTCAATTCCTAGGCACTGTCACGGGCTCAGCCTTTCCTTATGAAGAAAATTCGTATCAAAGTGTTCTTACTCCCTCAGCTGAGCCCTTCTGTCCAGGGAAGCAGAAAACTCCAGAGTCAAGGGCCGGGTCACAGTGGGCTGAGCAGGGGCAGGGGCAGGAGCAGATTTGCATGGAGGCCCCTCCCTCCTCTGTGGCAGGGGAAGGGATAAGGGACGGCTGGGGGCGCCAGGCCCAGTGCTGGGGGTTCAGAAGGCAGCACTCTTAGGGCATCCCCACTGTGGCCTGAGCTCTGCTCCTCCCCACCCTCATCTCTCAGGGCACAGGTGAGGCCTCCAGGGAAGGGACCATGGGAACATCTGGAAAATCCTGTGTCTCTTGCTTCTCAGGCTCACTTGGTCCCAACACTGATCTGACCATTTTGTGTTTTTCTCTCTTTTCAGGGTCTCAGGTCCAGTCTACTCTGACTCAGCCTCCCTCAGTGTCCGGGGCTCTGCAACAGTCGGTCACCATCTCCTGTGCTGGACCCATCAGTGACATTGGGGGTTATAATTATGTCTCCTGGTACCAACAAATCCCTGGCAAGGTCCTGACTTATGATGTCAGTACTCGCCAATCAGGGATCCCTGATCACTCCTCTGGCTCCATGTCTGGCAACACGGCCTCCTTGACCATCTCTGGGCTCCAGCCTGAGGAGGAGGCTGATTATTTCTGTTGTTCATATTCAAGCAGCAACATTGTACACAGTGGTCTAAGTTCTTGGGGAAGCAAGAACGAAACCTGCCCTGAGCTCACAGGCTCCCTCCTTGCTCTGAAGATGCTTCCTCCACTGTGCAGAGGGGGCTTCAGGCTACACTTCCCTGAGAATTCAGCTCTCTCGCAGCTCCTCTCCCCTCCCACCATGAAGTACTAAAGGAAACACACTCTGTGGTTTATTGTCCAGGGACAATGACAGCTTCCTCTGTGCTTATGCGATGTGGTCCCCAAAAGAGCAACTATTTCAGCTCCTCAGAGGCAGGGACATAGTGGCAAGGAGCCGACTGCTCTCTGCAGTCCTGGCTGTTTTTAGGGCAATCCTCTAAATCCTCTCTGTCTCCCTCACTGTGCAGACCAGCCTGGATTCACTTGTCTGGAAATGATGCTGTCTTATTCGACTCTGTGTCCAGCACAATCTGGTGAAAATGGCCTCTTTGCTGGGTAATTCCTCTGCAAGTCTGTTGCTGAAGCAATAGACAGGACGCAAAGATCTGAAGATATTTTCCAGGGATTAAGAACAAAGAGAAATTTTGTTTCGATTTGTTTTTGTTGTCCTTCTTCTCCCCAAAATCTAAGGTTGCTGAGCAGGGGCCAGAATTTGAGGGACCAACACTGTGCTCTCTCAGAAACATTCCTCCCCCAAGATCACTGCACCCCTGTCCTGGAAACACCTCCACACCTGGACTGTCTCCCCCCTAAGACAGGGTGTTTCCATCATGGCCTCACAGTTAGCTAACTGGGGAGTGTGCCCCCCTTCCTCATTGACATCAAGCAACCTAATATCCATGGGAAGTCAATAATTTTCCAGCTGGAGGCCTAATTAATCTACCAACTGTGAAACTCAATTTTAAAAATATTCAGACACATGCTGGGTCCAATATTTAAATTTTCTGGAATTATGTGAGCCAGTTTTTAAACACAATTGTTATTAAAGTTTAATTTCATAAACTTCAATTAAATAGATCATATTAAAAGCAAAGTAACCATTTTACTATATATATATGCATCTTGTAACATATTGTACACTTTAAATATATGCAATAAATTAATTTTGTTAAGTGCATTAGTTTTCTATTGATGCATAAAAATTACTACTAAAACTGAACATGTTAAGAGAATAAATATTTATGATCTTGTAGTTCTGGTGCATCAGGAATTTGAGAGCAGCTTAAGCTGATGGCTCTGGCTCAGAGTTTCTCATGAATTTGCAGCCACGCTGTCATTCAGGGCTGCATTCAGAGGCCAGAGCCGTGGCCAGACACTAGCCTGGGGGAGGACCATCCCCTGTCCCTTAGCTCCTTAGCAGGTATAGATGAACTAGGGAAAAAGCAGTAGCTCTGCACTGGATGGGCAGCATCCCAGTGTCAGACAGAAGGTTCTATCAAGCTGTGGGCTCAGCAGAGGGCCCTGGGGGTGCACCCAGGCCTATCTGGGAGGAATGAAGAGAAGGGGCATTTTCAGCAGGGGCATCATAAAGGACCACTGCCCAGGGACCTGAGATGCCTCAGCAGCTCCATCATCGTGGGTCTCAAGCAACTCAGACATAAACCCTAACCTGAGTTTTGCTGCTAAGAAATTTGAACAAGGCATATCTTCAAACGTTTCAAGTTATCTTCTTGGTAACTGTGATTTTATTTTTTTAATCCCAGTTTAGTTTAGCAATATATGTTCGAAATTTCATGCTAGTGTGAAAGTGAATATCATTTCTCTATTTCCCAGCATTTTTAATTTGAACTGAATCCTTGGTCCTTCTATCTAAGTAATCAAAGCTCAGGTATAGTATAAGGAATCTTTACCAAATACATTTCTAGACTTTATTTTCATTGGACTAGTAGCAACTGCTTAAATCTGTGCAGTGCAGGAATGGGACCATTTTTATTCTCTTGAAATAGCTTCTGTAAAATACCTTCCCTCCCCTGTTATTATGGAAAAGACTGCACTTTCTCTTTCCTTGTACCAGTCTCCAGCTGTCTCCCTGTTTGTTTGTTTGTTTGTTTNTAACTGTCCTGGAGATGGGAACTGGAGGGTCTGTTCTGTGCCCATTGGTCCTCATGTGTGCTAACACCCACTGGATGTCCAGCTGACACTCCAGGAGAGCTGGTTGCAGCTGCGGCCTTGCCAGGACCAAGCACCAGCCTCCAGGAAAAGACAGGCTGCTTCCTAACACAGGATGCATGGAGTTTTTAAATCTCATTGGGATTATGCTTCCTGCCGGACACACTTGTGAAAAGACACATCAACAGTCAGCTCTCCGTATCCACTGCAATGGAATACTACTCAGCTATAAAAACTAATGAGATACTGCCATTTGCAACAACATGGATGGACCTTGAGAGAATAATATTGAGTGAAACGAGTCAGGCAGAGAAAAAGAAATTCCACATGTTCTCACTCATTGGTGGGAGCTAAAAAAAAAAAAAAGAAAGAAAAACAAACAAACTAATTCACCCACATACACACACACACACACACACACACAAAAAAAAAAAACCGGAGG